GAGTGAAGTAAAATTATATTACAATAACTTTGAATATGTGTTTTCTGCATTTGACTTGCTGGTCAAAGATACTGTAACATTCAGCCTATGGATGTCTAGTGACACAAATAAAATAGATTTTTCTATACTATTTAATAATCTCCATTTCAATTCAATGAACACAGCTGTCATTCGTTTCCTGGGGAATAGATACTGTTTCTAAAGACACATCACCTTGTTCCTCCGGGAGTGCCCTGAAATCTCTCAGAACTCTTAGGGCATTGAGGCCTCTACGAGCTTTGTCAAGATTTGAAGGGATAAAGGTAAGTATACTGGGGGTTGTGTGCTTATTTTGTAATTTGAAGGTTTTGTGAAAATTACAACTTGAATCTCTATTTTGGGACTTGATGGCATTAAGATGGTTCAGATTGCCTACTTACATCCTATGCTTGTTATTTTGAAATAATACCTAACAATTTCATAGAAATTTATAAATACAGATGAAATAAGGAAATTGAATTATAATGTGCTACCACAAGGAATGATTACATATATTAACGTGAACACTGGAACATTTTTCCATGTTTCCAGTTTCAGTGCAATTTGCAGAACAAACTAAACAAGAATTCTTTTAGACTTACTTACACTTTTCTGAAACCCTTTCTTTGGTTTATCTTTGAAATGGAAAAATTTCATCCAATGTGTCTGGCAAATTCTTCTGGGAAAAACAAAAAAGAATATTCTTGAAAAAAAAATCAACTATTTTTGTTTACTTGTCAATAGAAAAGAAGCTATATATAGTTATTACAGTAATATGAGGAAGAAACCTGTACTGTACAAGTTGTAGCTTCTCAATCTTCATGGCATAAGCAATGTAGTGACCACAGTCCATCCTTAATTTATTCTCATTGCCTGAAGCAAGAAATTGAGACCTGGAAAAATATTGCTTCAGTGGAAAGTATTCCCTTTTTGTAACTCCTTTTCATATTTCCCCTTATTTAGACTGCTGTGCTTATATCAACTCATCTTGACAGTTTATCTAGACAGGCTCATGTCCCACATTTCAGATTCTCCAGGGTGGATCTGAAATATAACAGTCCTTTCAAACTTAAATAGGGTGAGATTTTCTTAATCGGAGAGGGGATTCTTCTAACTCAATTTTAAAAGCTGCTCTGAGCGAAGTATCTGGAATCTTTAAAGTCAGTGGGGAGAAGTAAAAAATTGTATAATGCAAATCATCTGACCTGTGTTAGATCATAGAACGTGATGAGACACTAACTGCAGGCCCCGGGATGGAGTAAATCCTGCTGGAAGCCATGAAGGACAAGAAGGAATCAGTTAGAAATAGCTAGTGTGAATTTACAAAGGGCAATTTTTCTCTCTCAAACCTAATTGTCTCATATGGTGGGATAGCTAAGGGAGGGAAGAGCCATCTGTGGTCTCAGATATTCATTATATCTGGTTTGGATAGGTGAACTGTAAGCTAGGCAGAAAATTGGCTGACCTGCTTATGCAAGAAATGGAACTAATGTTTTCTAGTAGGCCCACAGTGGCAAAACGAGAGAGAATGAGTCAGCTGTGAGGGATGTTCCAATTAAATACCCTGGAAAAAAGATGACGGTGTGGGTATATAGCATTGCAATAGATTGTCCAGAGTGGTTGTTTAATCTCCACTCTTGGAAAACTTCACAACTTGACTGGACAAAACACTGAGAAACTTGGTCTATGTTGGAACAGCTGATCTTCAGAGGTCCCTTCCAACGTGCTTTATTTTGTGTGTTTCTAGTATACAGATATTATCCAAGGCCTGGATAAAAGGCTCAGAATTTTCTCATAATGATAGCAATGAAACATTCCCAGAGAGATTTTCACTATGGCCCATGATGGAGTGGTGAAAAATGGTGAAAAGAAATAGATTATAATCCTCAAATTCCCCCGGCAACAAGAGTGGTCCTGCCTGTCAGCATCAATGCACTGGATTTGTGAATACGAGTCCTTATCACTGCTTGTGTCGGGTCCCTTGATGTCACCAGCACAGACACCAAAAGCTGGAATCCCTTTTTCATGGGTACCATTTCAGGAAGAGGCTTACTGCTCATCATGGGTTTGCATTCACCTTGTCCTCAAGCAAGCCTAAATGAAGGAAGAGTGCTGACCAAAACAACTTGGTCTTCTGGAAGCCAAACTTCTCTACTTTATGTACTGTGTGCAGTCAGTTGCCAGTGGTTATTGGGTGAGGTTCATTTTGTAACGGAGAGCAAGCTGCTGTTCTCTCACAAAACCCCTCCAAGATAAAAGAGAGGGTTATTGATGATATTGTAGTAAAGGCAGATCATACAACCCATTCCCCTTTACCTGATTTTTAGATTCCATAGCTACTATAGACTCATAATCTTATTTTATGTATTTTTTTTACCCAAGGATAATTCTGGTTGCCATCTGTTTTACTTCCTTCCTCGAAAAGGCAGGATAGATACCACAGAATTACATGTTAAGACAAGTTTGAAGTTGGGCTGAAGACTGGCTTTAAATTTGTCATCTACTATTTTTTTATATAGGTGAGAATCTGCAATAGGTACAGAAGAAGATAAAACAAGTGCTTTTCTGGGAAGGTGTTCGACTGAATGTGAATAATTCTTTAATTTTATTCTTTTAATTAATTAATGTTATTTTTTTAAGGTTGTTGTGAATGCACTCTTGGGAGCTATCCCCTCAATCTTGAACGTTTTGCTCGTCTGTGTTGTCTTCTGGCTCCTATTTAACATTGCAGGAGTAAAATTACTTGGAAAAAAATTTTCAAAATGTGTACTCAAGAAAGGAAATATCAGTCAAATTGATAACAAATATAATTGCACTTCCTCTGGTGGAACATGGACAAATAATGATGTAAACTTTGATAATGTTGCGATGGGATACTTGGCTCTTCTCCAAGTGGTAAGTTCTATAAAAACATGCTCAGTTTTGTTTTCTTCAAGAAGTGTGTTGAGCAGCTCAGCCATGGGTCACCACTACGCTTCTGTTTATCTCACTGAAATTGGGGATTTTTTTAGCTTCCATATTTTTCTTATCTATAAGCTGCTCAGTTCCTCCTAAAGAACACTTTAGCATATGCAACCTTGTGTTAAAATCAAGCACTCTGTTTCACGGCTTTTCAATTTTATTTTAATTTTGCTTAGCATACTAAGCCTGAAATAGTCTGCATGTTACTGGATTTAAAGTTATTCTCATTTTCTTTAGTAAAAGTTAGTTCAGAATGGATGATATATTTTCTTTTATTGTATAAGTCATGAAGTATTGGGATGCTACTTTATTGATCTTCCTAATGCCACAACAAAGGAGAGAAAGGCGTTTTTAAAAGTGGCTGTTATCCCTGTGTCTTTTCTAGATGTTGTTTTTTGCCCTGTATCCTCCAGAGTGTTCTGTGATTCCGTAGAGTTGCTAAAAAGTGCGGGAGGGAATCATCTGCTATCTTCTTAGAAATGGTTTTTATTCTTTCAGGGTATATTTGCTAGTTAAGCTGAAACTTTTACTGCTTTTTCAAAAAGCAAAGAATTTACAAAAGATTCAATTTAACATTAAAACACTTTTCATAGGATTCATGTCAATTTTTTTTTCTTTTCAGGAAATATATTTTTTTTCCTCTTTACTAGACTCCAGTGAATTATACTTTCAAACAGATCTTTGGAAGTTATGCACATTTTTTAGCTCACTTTTCTACAAGTCTTAATATATTTATATTAGCTTTAACTACTTTTTTTTTTTTTTTTCAGTTTCAGTGAGAATAACCTTAATAATGCTTTTTTTCAGGCAACTTTTAAAGGTTGGATGGATATTATGTACGCAGCAGTGGATTCACGTAAGGTACATCACTAAAATGAAATTTTAGTTCTTTTGTCTTTCTTCCTATCCTTTTCTATTCATACAATTAATTTTTCAGCTTTGTTTGCAATATCAAGTCAGAAATACAAGCATATGAATGCTTCAAACTACACAATGAAACAATAATCTTTGGAGTACCAAATGTCTGGAATTTAGACAACAGAAAACTGTTCAAAATAGACTGACACCAAACAAAAAGCTACTATATCAAGAATTCAGAAGGAAGGATATTGCAAGTTTTGGACAAGTCTGGTTTGGGAACAGAGTTCAGAAGGTCTTGGAGGGACTGTGTCTCTGAAGCAAATTTCCTTCTTTTTTAAATGTGTGCAATAGCATTAAAATGATATGCATCCTTAACAGTTATTTCTGGAGGTTTTCTTCCCTCTATTTGACACACTTACTATTTCTTCCCCATTTCCATGTGCTGTTTCTCATTCTCTCACTAGTACAGTGTGTTTCAACTTTTCTATGTTTAATTTAATTTGCATTTTCCTTATTCATTCAAGTGCTGTACTCTTGAATGTAGTGAAATAGCTGTGAATTAAAAAGATCATTCCTTGTAGGGCTGATTGATTGTAGTGAGCTGGCTTTTTAAAACTGCTTCTTGTCTGGGATAGCATTCCAGGGGATGGCAGTTCACCATTACGTTTAGCCTGAGCTGTTTTTCTAATCTAGGCATTCACAGTATCACTTCTGATTGGAACTGTTTACATATTACTTAAGAATTTGCTAGAGATGGATTTGACTACATAGCTTTGTAATTATCTTTAAAAACAGTAACAGAATAGAAAAAGACAGTTGTTCTACTTGTACATCTAAATAAAGGTTTAAATGAGTAGAAATAATTTATCTCTCCTGACAATAAAAAGATTTGTCATTATATATTGGAAATGATACAGCTGTGATTATCTGATTTTTATTTTTCTGGTTTGATTTTTTTTTTAACAGATAGATGAACAGCCACAGTTTGAAGCATTCTTAGCCATGTATATGTATTTTGTGATTTTCATTATTTTTGGATCTTTCTTCATGCTGAACCTTTTCATTGGAGTGGTTATCAGCAATTTTAACCAACAAAGGAAAAAGATAAGTACTGCATTAGCTAATTCAGGGTCTCTTGTAATCCCAATTTGATCAACTGAATGCTAGTTTGACATCTAGATGTGTAACATTTTCAGATAACTATTTGACTGGAGAAATTTGAAATAAGATACAAAGTTTTGAAAATAGGAGTCCCCTTTTCCTCAAAGCTTTGAGTAATTTACCTGTAAATTTTATTTTCATACCAAGTCCTTAATTTGTTCTAAGTGGGAGGACAAGGAGGATTGGGTAGTTTTAGAAAAAACAAGCCCAAAAAAGTTATGTAGACTTTGCTACAGGAGAGTGGAATTCTTTTATTCTGCTTTGAAGATTTACTTTGGAGAACAGAATAATCCTTTTTGCTGAGAGTAAATACCTAACAAATGTGATAAGGATAATCAAGAAACACTACTGCTCATAGGAGAATCAACCACTGCTTTCCTGGTAAAGAAATTTGAAAAGCTCTTGTTAATCAGAACTTCTTCTAGAACGAGCTACATTTAAAAAATCCTGTCATCAATAAAGTAACTGTATAGAGTAATTTACTGGGGTTTTTAAAAATTTCTGCATTGAGATCCAAGCTGTGGCCCCAGGAAGAGGCCATCTAGAAACTGAAAGACTTCTTAAAGCCCATGAAGCCCTGACTGCTTCCACTCTTCTCCTCATAGCTGTTAGATTCCCTGATCTTTTTATTCAGTAAGAAATGGAAGGGAAAGTCTTAGAATGAAAAATGCAACAACCAAAGAAAAGCAACAGTCAACCTTCCCTGGAATACTTCAGCTTCTTTGTGCCAAGCTTATTTATCAATTGAGTCCTCTCCCTCATTCTTTTAGGGGCTTAAAGTTTCCAGAATATCAAGGGAAATTGAGTTAATTAATTCACTTGGAAGTCTTAAAACAAATAAGCATCTTGCTCATTAAAAAAAAATACCACAAAAGCAGAGTCCAAGAAGAGGTTTACAGTTTCAAAGTTCACATTTGGAAGACAAGATCTCTTCAGAAGCCATTTATTACTTCCACAGGCTGACTTATACACCAAGTGTCAAAGAATTACTCCCCTTGGTAGAGATACATAGCAATAAGGCCCACACGAAATTCTTCTGCCCTCTGCATTTTAACAGAGAAAGGATATGTAGGGATTGAAGAGTGATCCAAAGTCCAGATACCTTACTGAACATTGTTACATGTTTGTTCTACAAAATGCTAATCATTCTACGCTTTCATGATGAGTGGCTTCTCCTGAATACTCAGTTCAAAGTGACTGCTAAGTAATACAGGTGGTTTAGATGGTAATAAGATGAGCACCACAAGTTCATTATCACGAAACCACCATAGAACGCGGTCCCAAAGTGCTTATTCATAATCCTCCATTTATTTGCTAACCCAGCAATATACTTCTGTTCCTGCCTTTCCCAAAAATAAAAATGGAAAGTGTTTTACTTGTTGATGAGTCTTATGTAACTTTAAAAATACGAAAAACATTTGTAAAACTTCTGAAAGGCTCTCACAGTTGAGGAAACTGACTCAGGAACACTGTCTAGGCTAGACTTTCATGATCAAACCCTGATCAGCTTTTTGCAGTACATCTTGTCAAAGAACAAGGGGGAAAGGAGAAATGGTGAAGACATATTTTGTCTCTGTGTTTTCTTAGATTCTACTCACAACAGCTGTAACTGACTTTTTTTTACATAAACTTGCTGGTGTTTATTTAGTTGACTGCTAAAACTTCAGCTGAACAACAGTATTCTTTCCCTTTACTTAGGTGGAAAAGATCTGTTTTTGACTGAGGAACAGAAAAAGTACTATAATGCCCTAAAAAAACTTGGATCCAAGAAACCTCAAAAACCCATCCCAAGACCATTGGTGAGACCATCTTAAGTAGAATATGATAGAAATTTAAACTATGATAGTATTTAAACTCAGTAGCCAGACATCTGGAAAGACACTTTGTGTTAGAGCCCATCATCTTCCTCATTCAATATAATACTTACATTTTACTCTCTTTTTCTTAATTCCATCTAATACCCACAAAGAAAGACTACATTAATTTAAGGAAATTTACAGCCTATTTATCACCTATTCAAATGTACAACCTATTTATAATGGTTCATATTAAGTATTTGCTATTCAAGATATTGGTTACATAAGTCACACAATATTGTTTCTGCAACTAGATTGGATTATTGCAGGTGAGAATGAATAGTGAGTAGTACATGCCCCACAGCTGTTATTTACTTTTAAATAATGTTATGCTTTATTTCTTACAGTTTCTTAAATTTAATTCCAGGCCTGGCTTCACATAGTAACTATTCAGAGTTTTTCTTGCTTGTGACATTTTAATTAGAATTGTTTGTCCTACTAAGTCTGCTTCAGTAAGTATTTGTATTAAAAGAGCAATCACAATGTACTCTGAATGTTTTCCGGCTGTATAGTTTTTTCCTAAGGAAATATAGTTGCATGATACCTGAAAAGACCCAAGTACTGAGTGTTTTCTTTGAAGGTCTAAAGAAATCACCTAAAAATACTTCTAGTAGCTTATTCTTAAATTTATATTCACTTAAATTCTCTTTCTCGGCAGCACAAATTACTGATGAGTATTTGAATGTAGCCTGGATCTTAGAAGTACCATTAAGTAGTTGTTCTTGTTCTCTCCACAGAACATGTTCCAAGGATTACTGTTTGATATAGTATCACACAAAGCATTTGACATTACTGTTGTGACTTTCATCTGTCTAAATATGGTCATTATGATGGCAGAAAATAGCCAAAACGGCATCAAGGATATTCTTAATAAAATCAACTATTTTTTTGTGGCGGTATTTACTGGGGAATGTGTCATAAAAATACTAGCGCTAAGACATTACTTCTTCACCAGTGGCTGGAACATATTTGATTTTGCTGTTGTGGTCCTTTCACTAGTTAGTAAGTATCAATCAGTAAGTATTATTAGATCAGATAATGTGTCTTACCAGTACTAAGCCAAATTTCAGTATGAAGTAAACACATATATCTGATAAACAAATTCCAGATCCATTGCACTTTGTCAAACCATATGCAAAGTGATTCCTTCTAAAAGGATATATTTTTGTTTTCCCTTATATTTTTGCAGAGTGCTGAAAGGTAAATAGATATTTTTCAATTTTTTTTTAAAGTGTGAGTTTTATTGGGTAATTAACAGAATAGTAATTTAATGCAGAAACATCTTTTCTAAGTTATTGTACTTAAACTGTTGTCTTAATGTTTTTATGCTTTTGATTTACATGTAATCACATTAACTATTGTTTTCATAGTAGAAGTAAATTGAGGTGAAAAATACATTTGTATGAAAAATGGGAAAGATTGATTTAATTAGATATTGGGAAGAAATTCTTCCCTGTGAGGGTAGTGAGGCACTGGAACAGGTTGCCCAGAGAAGCTGTGGCTGCCCCATCCCTGGAAGTGTTCAAGGCCAGGTTGGATGGGGCTTTGGGCAACCTGGTCTAGTGGAGGGTGTCCCTGCCCGTGGCAGGAGCATCGGAACTAGATGATATTTGAGGTCCCTTCCAACCCAAACCATTCTGTGATTCTATGAATTTTCCAGGACTTTCTTTTAAGAAGGTGGATTCTGAGGGCTGATTTAGAAAGCTCAGAAAAATTTAATTGCTCAGCACCATTTTAAATCAGGGCTACTATTTGTGACTGTGAAAAGTCTTATTAAAATTGGATTGGTTTTGTTTTGCTTTTCAAATAAGACTAGATGTTTATAATTTCCTCTGCAGAGGGTCGTATATAGCTGATGTTTCTTGTACAGTTTATTTGGTCTGTGCTTCCTACTCAGGCTCAGGTTATATCATAGAATAAAGGACAGGACAGAAAAACTGACCTGAGTTCTCTGCTTCGTCCCTCAGCACAGTGCCCCTTTGCTATCCCATGCAACCCAGAAAAATGCTAACTTCTTAAGTCTTCTGTTTGTAGTCATTTACATTACTACGGTATTGCTGAAGGTACTCATTAATCTAGTAGTAGGATCATAGGATGAAGTATGAGGGAGGACGAATCCTGAAAGACAGTTCTCCTTTCTTTTCTTCTTGCTCATTCAAGTGCCAAGCATTAATGCAAGTCTCACGTTTAGCATGTGGCTTGGGCCTGTTGAAGAAACAGCAATCAGACAGCAGCTAGGAGACAAGCCCCATAGCTTCCAGCACAGGAGCTGAATGGATTTTAAAGGATTTTTTAAGTACTCAAGCAATGCGTAATTTCATCCTGTGACTTAGAGAAAGCTGAGATAACACAGTTTCCAAACTATACATAATCTTGGTACCTCTTTAATATTTAAAGGTATTACAATTTGTCTTTCTCTTCCTAAGCTCTTTCGTAAGCAGTTGCAGTACTGATGATAATGTTTTTGTTGAAAGTGATGTAACATGATCAATGTTACTTTCAACACCTGAAGCATAGAATATAACAAAATGGACATAAATAGGGAATTTCACTGATATGGCTTGACGACATTTTCTTTTATTTTTCATTTCAAAGGTATTGGACTTTCTGAAGGCTTTCGAAGTTCGTTCTCTCCTACACTTTTGAGAATTTTTCGTTTGGCACGAATTGGACGAATCCTGAGATTAATTCGAAAAGCTAGAGGAATTCGCACTCTTCTTTTTGCATTACTGATGTCTCTTCCTGCACTGTTCAACATTGGTCTTTTGCTTTTTCTTGTTATGTTCATTTATGCCATTGTGGGCATGACAAACTTTGCCTGTCTTGGCTGGGAAGGTGGGATTGATAATCTTTTCAACTTTCAAACCTTTGATAGTAGCATCCTCTGTCTCTTCCAAATTACAACATCAGCTGGCTGGGATGGTCTTTTGGTCCCTCTGTTAAAAGAATCTAATTCATGTGCTCCCAACTTAAATTTGACAGATGAACAGAAAAAAAATTGCACAAATAAGGGGGTTGGTATTTTATTTTTTGTAAGCTATGTCATTATATCATTTCTCATTGTTGTAAATATGTACATAGCTGTTATTTTAGAGAACTTCAGTGTTGCCACTGAAGAAAGCACAGATCCTCTTTGCGAGGATGACTTTGATATGTTTTATGAGACCTGGGGAAAATTCGATCCTCAGGCAACACAGTTTATTGAATATTCTGCTCTTTCAGACTTTGCAGATGCTCTGGCAGAACCCTTACGCATTCCAAAGCCCAATAAAATTCAGCTCATATCCATGGACCTCCCTATAGTTAGTGGAGATAAGATCCACTGCTTAGATATCTTACTTGCTTTCACTAAAAGGGTCTTGGGAGAATCTGGAGATTTGGATGGTCTTGAACTACACATGGAAGAAAAATTTATGGCTGCCAATCCATCTAAAGTTTCTTACAAGCCAATTACTACTACCCTTAAAAGAAAACAAGAGGAGGTATCTGCTCTCATTATTCAAAGGGCCTTCAGGAGGCATTTGATGGAGCGTTCTTTTAAAAATAAATCTTTCTTATACCGTCGTAAACATTATAACAGTGCTGTCTTTGAAGAAGAAACACATGAGAGGGAAAGTCTTATTGCATCAATGTTTAATAATAATCATGGTAGGAAGCTAGATAAATCACGGACTACATCTTCCATATCTCTTCCTTTATTTTATGATGGTATTGCTGAAACAGATAGCGATAATGTGGACACATAAGGATGCCCTGGACTTCAGCATTTTTGATTAAACCAATATCAGTTATTTTCAGATGGAGAAAGTATTTTGATCCCAGAGCATAATACTCTAAATTTAGAATAATGATGGCAGCCTGTAAGTATTGTGATTGTTCAATTTTACAAATGTTCCTTAAAACAATTAAGATTTGAACAACTATGTCACAAATATTAGAGGAAAATCAAACCATGAAATCTTTTTCCTCAGGTACTGGAGTGAGTTAATTTTTACACCTGTCATTTTTTTTTTTTTATTACTTCATATTTCTGTGTTTACAAAAGAAATTTGTAAAGATCAGTTGTAACTGTAATATGATTTATAAGCACACAAGGCTGTAGAACAATGTGTATCTCTTTGGAGATAAATCTTGGTTTGAAAAATTGGTTATTGTAGCAAAATTAAATAATTACTGCATTTTCTGTAAAGAAGCTCACTCAAGACACTTGAGTATAATGGGCCACTACTTTCTATGTTGTTTGGGACCATCTTTCTCCTAGTGCCTTTGGATGGATTTGTTTATGCTTAAGAATTTTTGAGGTGTCTTTACAAGTGCGCCTAAATGTATTTAATATATCATGCTCAGATGTCTGTGCTTGAAAGTTGTATATAATTTGTTCTTTGTATCATTCAGTGTATGAAAAATGCGATAATAGTTACCAAAATCAAAGGATGTTATGCAAGTTACTGTTTCCAGAAAATCTTAAGAATTATTGTACATAAAATTTAATCATTATACTTCTTCCAAATGTAATAGAAAGTATTACTTAGTAATCTGAAAAGGAGTTCATGGTATATCTTATGAGACAACATTTATTAAGGTTAGAGGAAGTATTTATTTAATTGGTTCTGAAAAAAAATCCATGTATCGACAATGTGTATTAATATTACTTTTACTGCTTTTTTGCAGTTTAGGCTGGCCAAGTGAAGTGTCATGGTGGCCTCAGAAATGCTAATGAAATAGGACTATTTTAGATTCTTCAATAAAGAATTCAGATGCTCAATGCATTTTTGTCTGTTTTGTGCTATCTTCAGTTTCAGTTTATTACAAGACATAATCAGAACCACAGTAATACAGTTTTCCCAAAATAGCTACCTATTGGCTCAAGAAAACTGAAAATGTTTTACTTTTTACAGGGAATCAGAAAAGATTTAGCATTTTCAGGCCAAGAATAGCAGGAACAATAAGGTAATGACTTAATTTTTATTGTCATTTCCCTTTTTAAATACTATTAAAATATGACAGATATAGTCCAGTCTAAGTAATTTGTAGGACAAATAAAGGCACATGAAAGCGGAGAGTTAGAGTTCAGATTAGAACTGGCTTTATTACTTCCAGAACCAGCTTCTGTTCAGAAAACAGTTGACCAAGAAGAATAATGTCAGGATAACTCAGAAATTTGCACTTGGTGTCAGCAGCGCTGGGCAGCGGGATTCAGAGCGACTTGATGGATCTGCTTGAGAGGACCTCCTGTCCAGCTTGGATTGCTTGTGTGCGTAGTGATGCTTTTGAGGTGAAACTATTGATTCTATTTGGTGTGAGCTTTGGTTCAACGATCAGGTACCATTAGATGGCAGCATTTACTACATTTTAGAATATAGCCAGTCTTAAGTAAGACAGATGTCGAACTCCTACACTTCAACGTGGGGGTATTTAATTGTAAATAACTATAGAAAATAATGTCACAACTTTTTTTTCTGTCCTGGGCTCTCAAGCTAGCCACAGTTCTCAGTAGGTGCTTTCTCGCTGACTGTTCTGGTTTCTCCATATGACAGACAGACCTTAGGGATTGTGAAGTACTGCCTCCTGAAAAAAAACCCCACCAACATTCTCCTGTGTGCTTCCAGGAGGGTAGTTTTAAGAATAACTCTATAGCACTGTAGCAAGAAAAGTTTGTTAGGAAAAAAGTAAGAGTACTTTGTTCTTATGTTTTGGAAAAAAAGGAAGGACTGCAAAAGCCATATGAGAGAATTTTAAATACTAGTAATATATAACAAAATGCCTTTTTTTTTTTTTAATTAGTCTGATCTTTACAATTTAAAATTATTTTGTTTGAGTGCAACAGCAGGTGCTGTGCCCTGCTCCAGAATTAGAAAAACTTCAAAGTTGAACACTTTATTTCCATTGTAGGGGCAGCAATTTTGGACAGAATCACACCTGACATAAATGCATCCTTAGTGATTATTTTACCTCAGAAACATACAAAAGCACCTGAATTCACCACAGTGCAAATTTAAAAGTCTGAACAAATTTTTAGTGTTGCTTAAGCATTAAAGTGGCCTTAGCACACTATTGTAGGGATGAAAAGAGAATGGTGATATCCAGCTGTGGCAGCTTCTTCATGCTAGAATTGCACAAAAGCCAATTCAGCTGCTGAGGCAACGTAGAGTTTCACTAAAACTGCCTGAACATACGTGAAGTTCCTAAGAGGTGGTCAGGCATCCTTGGAACACAGTGAAAGAACATTCCGTTCTGTTTATGAAGTCTGACACTTAAATCAGAGAACAGCAAAACCAAAGGATTATTGGATCCCTTGGTTAGGAAACACCATGCATGTAAAGCTACCAGTGAATTCCTGAGGGCCAGCTCTAGAATACGTAGCAACATTGCCTCCTTAGTGATGGTGCAGAACTCCATTTTACATTTCCATTTATCATTTTCCTGTGCAGAAATAGTTAGCAACTGACCACCGATGATTAAGAATTTTCTCCTACTTTTGTGATAGCCCTGTATCCATGAGAACAGGCTCCATAAAGGTTTTGTGGAAACTCTTGGAGCTGTCAGTTGCTGCTAACCTTGCAATGTTTGTGGTATCCCTAGTGTTCCTTCAGGACTCAAAGAATTAAGTCATTTGAAATGTACCAGAAAGAGCATCTCATCAAGACATCTTTTCCCTGAACCTACCAAAGGTTGTTGTGCTTGACAAGTGTGTCCTCTGTGATGTCACTTTCCAAAGTCAATGCCGTGGTTTAACCCCAGCGGGTAACTAAGCACCATGCAGCTGCTCGTTCGCTCCCCCGCAGTGCGATGGAGAGGATTGTGGAAAAAAGAACTCATGGGTTGGAATAAAGACAGTTTAATAGGCTAACAGAGGAATAATCATAATAATAATAATACAAGAGATGCACAAATGTAATTGCTCACCACACACAGAAGAAAAAATACCCCAATGCCCAGTCTGTTTCCGAGCAGCGATCCCCCCTCCTGGCTCGCTTCCCCAGTTCTGTCTGGAGCACGACGTTCTATGGCCAGGAATATCCCTCTGGCCAGCCTGGGTCAGCTGTCCTGGCTGTGCTCTCCAGCTCCTTGTGCCCCTGGCAGGGCGTGGGAAGCTGAAAAGACTTAGTGTAGGCACTACAACTGCCTGGTAACAACTGAAAACATCAGTGTGTTATCAACATTATCCTCATCCTAAATCCAAAACACAGCGCTATACCGGCTACTAGAAAGAAAATTAACTGTATCTCAGCCAAAACCAGGACAGCCATCAGTGAGGTAAACATTCTGTCTCAAGTTGAGGAAATCCCTGCAACTTATGTTATGCAAGAAGACATGCCAAAATATGCTTTTCCAGCTCTTATTTAGAGTGAATAGCACACTCAATGCAGCAGCTTTAGGCAGAGGTCAGGAGTATTACTAGCATTCTGTCTCAAGTTGAGGAAATCCCTGCAACTTATGTTATGCAAAAAGACATGCCAAAATATGCTTTTCCAGCTCTTATTTAGAGTGAATAGCACACTCAATGACTGCAGCAGCTTTAGGCAGAGGTCAGGATTATTACTAGAAATGATGGATAAGAGGTCTGTCATGCTGAAACTGAGTAGAACAATTTTTTCAGTATTTATGAAAAAAGTTACAAAGATGGAGGAATTGTGTTTAAATACTATTGTTAAGTACCTCCAGCTAATAGCAAGTCTGACTTCAGCTTGCTTCAGCAGACTTTACAGGCTTATTTTCTGAGGTCTCACCTGCTAAGAAAAGGTTCTGCCAGCTGCTTCAGAGAGGTGAACAGTCACATGGGCCTGGCACACACGGAGCTGCCCATTTCTTCTGCTCCTCAGAACGTGGACTGCCTTCAGCATGAACACCCCAGATCCCATCCCAGAGCATCTGCTGATCAGTAACTTTCATTCCAGCTATCAGTCCCCTCCCGCCTTGGAGATGCCTTGGAGAACTGAGCAGATATACAGTTACTGAGATCTAATTCAGCAATCATGTTGCTGTCCTGGCAGGTAGGATCACCGTGTTTTGGGTAGGTTTCACTCCAGTGAGCCTTCTTTCTTCTTACTGTTTACCATTAGCTTAATATACTGTCTGCTAAGTCTGTGGTGGAAGCCCATGCAAAGACCGCCTGTGCCAGCCAAAACTTATGTGCATGTTAACTAACTTGGCTCTTTATGTGTAGATAATGGTGTGGAAGGAAGAACTATCCAACTTTCTGCCAACTCTCCCTTTTCCTTTCTTCTCATATCTGAATGAACCGGATGGTTTCTTCAGTTATCCCTAGGTTTGGATAACTCTTTTCAGTTTTACTAGCTTAATTCACAGTTGCTGAATTCACAATTTCATAGTTATTAATATTTTTTAGTGGCATTATAAAAAGTCATTGCCCAGTTTGCATTTCATCAACACTAAGAGTGATACAGAAAAATAACAGGAAATTAAGTATGGAGTATCAGTAATCCCATTAGTCAGCTCACTTGCCACCATATCTCATCACAGATGCAAGATAAATGTAAGAAAACGCCACAGATTGTGATGACTACCCGACTAACTGTGTAACAATTTTTCCTCTTTGGTATCCCTACGTGTTATCAATTTCTAGAAAGAGGAGGATAGCCTGAAATAAGAGATTAGAAGAAAAAGAAATGGTACAACTAAAAAGTCAGGTTGGTTGTTTGGAAGCAGCTGGTACAAAAGAAACCTTGAACACGAAATAGTAGTTCAGGAAAAGGCGATGGAAATAGATAAGGAGAAGAGATGA